CCGCTCACCACTGAAGTTAAGGTGGAGTAGACACCGCCCACTCCAGAGTTTACGGTCGAGCACACACCGCCACCGCATGGTCCGCCATAGATCGTGGTGATAGTGACAACGCTGTTGGGGGCAGTAGTGACAGTAACACCGCTGTTAGGAACGGTGGTGATGATGATAATACCTCCGCCACTAACAACAGTAGTCGAGGGTGGCGAAGCAGGAGTTGGCGTTATAGTAATAGTAGAGGGATGTAGTGTAGTTGTTTGAAGGGTGGGTGTTGGTTGAGGGGTCGGGGGATAATAAGGAGAAGAGCCATCGCAAACTTGACCAGCCGGGCAGCAACCTGGTTCGCCATTTCGGTTTTGCCAGTAACAGACATTGGGATAAGGACAGCAGATTTGTTCGAATGTGCTGTCGCCTGCGCAGTAGGGATTTTGATCAGTCCCACAGGAATTCTGAGCCACGGCAGAGTGCAACCCCAGCACGGAGAAGAGGGTCACAATGGCCGTGAACAGATAGGGATCGCCCATCCTGGCGCCGTGCGAGACCTGGACAGGGGAGGGCGAGGAGGGTCAGCCATGACGGAAAATGGGAAGGCTGGGAATATTTGTAACATTCTCGGACGCGCAAGGAGCTGGCATGAATCCGAGCTAGAGCAGTACTCGGTAGGTCAGCAGCTGCCTCACGTTTTCTCAGGCTCCGGAGTTTATTCAAGGCGTTCCTCGACATCAGCCTTGACGCCTTGGAGGAGCTTTAAATCTTGGACTCGGTTACCAGAAGAAGTTGGCATCTTGGACGAAGTGGCCAATGATGGTTGTGAAGAGGGTTGCTGTGTGCAAGCTACGGAGCGGGAGGTGCATGAAGCCACAAGCATTATGACGGAAGGTTTGCCAAAGGGGGATAGATTGGCACTTAATATTTCATTGCAGGAGGGGTTTAGGGGGGGTTAGGGGTTTGCTAGGGGGCCTTCGGCTCGGACTAGTGGGCTCTCTCGGCTGGTGGCATGCATGACATGCTGTGCATTGGTAGTAACGGGTGCAGGCCAAATACCGAGTAGGGCGCAGTAGGCTGCCCACTGCTGCGGGAGCTTAGCACCAGGCCGCTAGGGGGCTCTTAAAGAGAGCCCTTATCGATAAAACGAGGCCGCACGAGCCCCAGACGTCACGCACGCGCCTCCACCAACTGCGTCCTCCCCTAGGACATGCACCATTCTTGACCATTACCACTCAACAGGGCGGCGTTGTCGTGGTCGACAACGTGCTCGCCAACCCACTTCTGAAAATATCCCAGATGTGCTCGGCCATGGTTGTATATGCACGCGACTGTTCGTATACGAGCCTGGTTAACGCCATCTCCTCGCTCGCTGATGTCCCGTCTGCCTCGAAACCTCTCAATTTGGCTGCTTGACTCCTGGGCAGAGGCTGTGCTTGCTTGGTCATTGGTCACCAGAGATTTGTCCCGCCTGCGGCCAAGAGTGTCAATCCCACTGTCACTGGCAAGCGCGGGCGATCCATGCAGTCCATTTGATCTGCCATCTGCCACAGAACCACGATCCAACTTGCTGTCCACTGTTCCCCAGCATCGCTTCATGAGGCATAGGTATACATACGGCATCTGTTCTGTCCCTGTTGTAAGTCTGTGATATTGCTCCAATCTCTCTATCTCCACTCAAAGTTTCTTTCACCGCCGTGACACTATGGATCGGCCGCCTTCGAGGTCGCGAGCTCCTATGAGCATGGAGGCCTTGCTTGATGAAGAAAACAGAGAAGTTCTAGCGGCCCTCGATCGAAAACGACCCTCCAGTCCCATTCCCAGGTTCAAACCCCCGAGAACCGCCACTCCCCCGCCCGTCCGCAGTATGCTCGACGTCGATTCTCCCATTCCTCGCCATGGCTCCATAGCGGGCATCGGTGTTGGAGTGACGAGTCCCAATTCATCCAGAAAGCCGGCCAAAGAGCTCGATCCTTCAGACCCCAGCAGCTGGACCTCTCCTCATTCCAGCAAACCGAGCTCTCCCGTCCTCACAAAGACCTCTCCAGCGATCACGAGACAGCGAAACTCATCAGAGACTGAACGGCCAGTAGGGTTGCCCAAGATACAAACAGACGAGAAGCGCGGTTTTGAACAAAACTATCAGTTCGATATCTCCTCAATACCTTCAAGCTCGCCCGCGTCACGCTCTCCCCCGAATACTAAGAGACCACGTGAGGGTTCTGGTTCCGCCATGGCCGCGGCTCTGTCAGGGGATTTCGCCTCCTTACACGTAGGCGTCCCTGGAGGAGGTCATGGAAGACATAATTCTACCGTAGCCGCGGGTGCTAGTTCGAGGTCTCCATCCTCGCGCATCCGGAAGCCTGAACCTTCAAGACCGGGATTCCTCAGTCCTACTAGCACACCTGGCCCCTTGACGACGAAATCTGGAACTGTGGTGGATGATCAGGCGCATCTTCGATTGTCGTCGGGCAGCTTCTCGACTACGACCGATGACTCGGAAGAAGGACTTGGTCGTATCAACAAGGACAGCGTTGCCGGCGAGGAGGATGCTGTGGATGACAGTGATGAGGATGTCATATCTCCAAGTAGTGATGAGGACGAGACTAGGGGTCGGTCGGAGAGACGAAAACTGTCAGCAAACCACGAACCAGCCGATGCAAAAGCTCTCGACACGAATGGCGCTTCGTCACCTGAGGATCTCAAGAGGACCTCGCACTCTAAGCAATTTGTCAGGTCGTTGCTTGAACCATCCATTTCCATCACCAGTCCGACGGGGGAAAATGTCACAGACAAGAAAGGGGGTTCTAGTACACCTATCAGACGGTCATCTGTAACGTCGGTTGAGGATGATGATGAGGAAAATGCAGCTATTAGAAAGGCCAAAACTTTGGCGTTGAACATATCACCACTTGACTCCACAGTGACTGATCGTCATGTGCGAATCATCTTGCGAGGCAACTGGGCCCATTTCTACCAGGAATCAGAAGCCGGCAAAAGGACGGCAAGACTCTACCTCCTTTGCAGCGATCAAAGTGTCGAAGCAAGCTACGCTATGGAATGGGTCGTAGGCACCATGATGAGGGACGGTGACACTCTCCTGGCCATCTACGCGATGGAAGATGAGAACGCCGGGAAGACCACCGAAGCCGAAAAAGAAGTCTTGACAGCCGAAGGGAACAAGGCTGGGAGGGACGCTTCCGACGTCATGCACACTCTCACCCGCCAGACAACACAGGGAGGCGGCACAAGTTTCGGGCTAGGAAAAGAATCCCAATACGTCCCAGCGACCGAAATAGAGAGCCTGACTGGTAGTGTCGATGCGAGAAAGGTCTCTAAGAAAGAAATGGATCGTCTCAAGGCCGTTGAGAGCCTGACCCAGGACTTTGTCAAGTTGGTTCGCAAGACACCACTGCAAGTGAGGTGTATGGTCGAAGTCATTCATTGCAAGAGTCCGAAACATCTGATTCTTGGAGCGGTACGTTGGCCTAGATTGTTCACATGATCATGCCTGACCTTCTTCCAGATTGACGAACTCGAACCAACCCTCTGCGTCGTGGGCACGCGTGGCCGTAGTTCTCTCAAAGGCGTCCTCCTCGGCTCTTTCTCCAACTATCTTGTCACCAAATCATCGGTGCCTGTCATGGTTGCACGAAAGAGGATGAAGAAACCGCATTCAAATATCCGCATCAGTAGCTCTAAAATACGTTTGTCCAACAACTTGACCGCAAGCCATTTGCCCACCAAACGACGAACCTTGACGCAGGCGAGAATTGATTAGCGGTCAAGAAACCTCGGGAAGAAAGCAGCCGAGTCACAAGCAAAAAAGAAGTACGAAAGTCGCAAGTTGACGTGGCAGGAAAAAGAAGTCAAGCTGGAAAAGCAGCAGGGCAGAGTTGATTAGCAATCAGAAAAGGAGAATCAGAAAAAGCATTGGGAGGCGAAACAAGCCAAGTGGGAAAAAGAGAGGCAGAAGTATAGCGACCGGAACGGAAAGGAAATGGAAGTGGCCGACGATGTCGAAGATTGTTGTGGACAGGAAATGAAAACAGAGCAAGCAGAACGCACCAGTGCTGATCCATTACTCCCGGACTTGTCTATCGAGAGCAAGCGAGGAGAAACGAGCCCTGCAAACTATTTGCGCCGGACATTGTCTATTGCCAACCTCTTCAGCCCGCTCTTCCTGTCTCGCCCTGACACCTAACGGCCAATGGAACGGGACGAGAGATGCAAGTGGTGGCGTTCTTAGCATGCAGGTTCTTGCACGAGCATCAACAGGCGCAGAATAGATCAGCCAGTCCGCCAGCCAGCGTCGGCGAGACAGGCCAACCATAAGTCATGCATTCGAAGATATCGTGCTAGGGAGCACCAGTACCAGAATGACACAAAGGGGCATATAGTATACCCAGTATTAACGGTCGAAGATTGGAAACGCTGAATGTGAAAGATACGATTGTTCGATGGTCGATAGCCGATAGTGTGTGTATTCGTCGCTGTTTTGCGAAACGAATCAAGTTGCGAAGCTCCTTCGCCTTCTTCGCCTTGTCCTTCGGACTAGAGGTCCAGCTACTATAATGCTGCACGTGCCACGAAGTAAGCATAACAGCATAGCAAAGCAGAGGAGAACAAAGTAAAAAGTAACCAATGGTGATAATATACATGTTCAACTCGGCGACTCTGTCAATTCAACTATTCCTAATCTGACCTAGGTATCTTTCTATTATCTGTGTGTTCCGCACAGTAGCTACCGTATGTAGTGTAGGCCATCTCTACCGTCCGTATCCTCGACACGAGTAGGAATCAGAATAGGAGATTTGCGGCGGCTGGCTGGCTGTCTTGTTCCAAGTTTGCGGGACGAATTGAATCGACAGACGGACAGACTGCCTCACTGACCAGATTGCCAGCGTCTCACAATACGGTCGAGCCCAAGGTCGTCGTCTCGCTCAGTCGTTCGAATTTCTTCCGTCTGGAAAGGAACGAGGGTGGAAGAGTGAGAGGGTGAGAATGCCCATTCATTCTCACCGCGGGACATCGACCTCCATCATCCTCTTCTTCGGATTCCGCGGCAATGCTTCCTGCCGCTTCCTCTCCTCGGGGGAGATGTCGTCGACGTTCGTCTCTTGCGCATTGCTATTCTCCTTCGCCTGGACCTCCTTATCTTCGGAATATGCCCCTCCTTTAACATGTCCCTCCTTGGCCACTTTGAGAATCTCCTCCTCCATGCCCCGCACGTACTTCCATGGAACGCCCGCCTCGTCCAACATCTTCAGACTCTGCGAGTCCTGCACGAACGTGCCGGGCTCCCGGGCGCCAAAGACGACTTTCCTAATTCCCCCGCCTGCGGGATGACGACTGCCGCCGCCCTTTCGCGTCGAAATGATCCGTTGCACGCACGGCGTGTTCCCGCTGAGCCGCTTCCCGCACGGCTCGAGCGTCGTGTACAGGTACACGTTCTTCTCTGGCGTGAGGACGGCCTGGCCCAATTGCTCTAGGTCTGACGACGAAGAGGAGGAAGATACAGAGATACCGTGTTTCTGCACGAGCTTCGTCAAGGCATTCTGCTCCGCGTGCGTGTTCCCTTCAATTTCTAACGTGTACCCCGTCGACAACACCTCGCCTTCAATTTTCTCGATTCCCCCTTCCCCTCCTTCTCCAGAGGACGTTATTGTGGACGGACCGTCGGAGGCGGTGGGAGGAGAAGTAGGGAAGGCCACGATTACGCATCCGACGCGGAAGTTCGTGGGCTTTGGCGGCGACCGGCGCGCAAGGGACAGGGCATGCCGGAGGTAGTGCAGGTGCGTGGACTGCGAGGGTTCAGAGACGCTGGACATCTCTGCCCGATTTGTATGCGTGATAAGTAAGTCAAATAAATTGGGTCAAGTCTTAATCGTTGTTTGCCGTCGCTTGCTTTCGGTCCGGGGCAACGATGTCCCTAGTTACAGCCGGCCGTGAGGGAACTCGGAAAAAAAACTACGATCCTGCCGAGTGTTTGCATGTAAAAGAAAGGATGGTTGGTTGATTTCTCATTTGTCTGCGCTCCTAACCCCGTGTATTCATCCAGTCGAATTTGATCTGCGCTGATCCTGGTCCAGAGAGGGTGGAGGGGAGGATATTGCTGTTTGTGTGTTTTGTTTGTGCTCGTATGTGAAACGATGAAGAATTGAAATTGACTTCCCAGTTGATGGGCCTCCGTCACGGCTCACGGTGAATGTGGGGAATGGACAAGGCTGAAAGGCTGAGATGTGGCCCCGCATCAACAAGGCTGAGAAGCATTTGATATCCAGAAATCGGTCAAGCAAATAAAGCCCTGGATCTTGATCGCAAAGGTATGTATAACAAGTAGGTATATCCTTTTCATGCATTTGCCCTCCCTGTTATTTGGTCGCAGAAAAGAGTGGTATCATCCTTCCCTATTAACTCAAACGCCGCCCGTATGGCTCCTTTCCATTTTCCCTGACGCTTTTTCCATCCATCCTTCTAGCGCTGGTTCTACCATAGCTTCTGATTGCGTCCGCACCATATTCCATTCAATTGGTAGGGGAAGAAAAGAAGAAGTAAACAAACATCCATACCAATCCCAAATCAACATACTAAAAGCCCATGTCTCTGATGTCGAGAAAAGCTCCGTCGAAACTCCCTGTTTGATCCCGCCCGCCTGAACAACAAAAGTGCTTCGCTGCTAATGAAATTGGCCAAATACCCGTAAGGAAAACAACCAAAGAAACTCAAGCGTTTGACACTAGTATATCCTTGCTGACTGTAGCTGCTGTCGGAGAATGAGTCATGCTTGATCCCTCCAATAAAACCGCCAATTGATCGACCTCGCTGTCAGTGGCAGCTTTTGCGTTATCGCTGGTACTTGCTGCTCCGGCGTCTTTCTGGTGTCTCACGCGCGTCCTGTCCTTCCTCTCTCGAATATTCTTTAGCAGCCCAGAAACTTCGTACTCCAACTCATCCAGATCAACTACCTCTTTACTGATGGTCAACTTTTTCTTGTAAATTTTTAGCATTCGTGTCGCCTGATCGGTCGCCATGGCTAAACTGCCAAAGTCAGATGCTTGGCTCATACTCTGCCGGCGTCCTTGTGCTGCAGCCTGAGCCCGTAGATCAGAAGGCACCGAAGGCGGTCTTCGCAATCGCCCATTATTGGCCTTTTGCCGTTGTTTAGGCGTGGAAGGCATCGAGACAGCTGTTGACGGTGGCGAGGGCGAGCGTTCCGCCAGCGTTGTTCTTTTAGACTCGAGGTCTTTGCTGATGTCTGTCCGCGACCTTTGATTTCTTAATTTCGATGAACCCCGTGGAGGCGGCGATGGTGAACGTCGATTATCCACATTCTCAGTTTTTGGTGATGCATTGTGTTCTGTAGAAAACTCGACCTTCCTACTTGGCGTCTCTTCGAGGTCTTCGAGGGACGTCGCCAGAGCAAGTCTCGATGTCTTGCGCTGCAATCGAACCGGGGATAAAGATCGAGGAGTGGAAGGTGATGCCTGCCCATTCGCCCCTAACAACTCCGTTATATCACTCTTTGTCAAAACCTTCCTCAACGGCGGAAGTGACGAAGGGCTGGGTTTAGCCGCCTCAGATTCATCAGACATTAACCCCAAGCCTCCAGCTTGTCCCTGTGGGATACCTGGAGTAAGTAACAGAGGCGCTGTCTTGAAGATGCTCCAAATCATGATAGTGCCATCCAATCCAGTGCTTACGACCGTACACCGCGACCCGGGATTCAAATTATCGGGTTGCTCGAGGAGAGCTATATCACTCACTCCCTCTGTATGTCCAGATTCTCGAGCCAAGAGATTGAGATTCTTTTCGTTGTAAACTCGGATAGATTTGTCCATGGAGCAGTATCCGATCAACATCTTTTGATCTGCACTCTCCGGGACCGAGGTACAGATCATGGAATTTAGAAAAACGGTGTCATCGCTTTCCGCATCTCCGACCTTGAACGACTCGAGCAATGTGCCGGTAGAGATATCAACATTTGTAACACGGCGGTCCATAGTCGAGACTATCAGGGTGCTCTCCGCCGCCATTGCCATCGACAGTGGGGTCCCTTTGAGCGTCAGGACCTTGGTAGCGAGATAGGCCACGGCTTTCGTGCCCTCCTGCTGTCGGAGCATCCGCTCGCGAATGACCAGAGACCGATCTGTCGAACAAGACAGTAATTTCTCGCCGTCCTGGATGAACATCACTTGGTTGACAGATCCAACGTGGTCATCCATTGTCTGTAGAAGCTCGAAGGAATCGCTGTTGACGTGAAATAGTTGTATCATCCGATCTCTGCTGCAAGTTGCAACGAGGGACCCGGACTCAAGGATGTCGATCGAGGTGATCTCTGCGCTGTGTGCCCTGATTGTCTGTGCAACTTGCCAATCACGGCTCTTGATCAGTTTCAATAATCCAAATCGATCACCGGCAATGAAACTATCATGAGGGGAGAGGAACCGCATCTGAGTCAACTCGTTCTCAAATTCATCATCCCTTGACTCAGCGGTGTCAGGAGGAAGACTCTCTTGCTTCAGTAGTGTACCATTGCAACTCCAGAACTTGATTTCTCCATTCTTCGAATAGGTAAAGAAATTGCCTTGAGCAGCAGAGTCCGGAAGTGTCCGAACTCCTAGAATGACACTTTTGTGAGCTGCAAACGTAGGTTGAGGATTGTCTCCGTCCTCCATGCCGCGACGTTGGATCTGCAGACACCCATCATTGTTAAGCGTAATCGTGTGATCTATAAGGGTTCCTATCGCCACTAGACTTTTTGCTGCCTGGTCAAGCAGGCCGAGCGAGCGTCGAATTGATGACAAGCGAGGTTTCCGCGACAAGAGCTTGCTAGGCGATTTGTTCTCCTCTCTTCGCAAAACATCGAAATCTTCGCTGTGCACACCATGAGGAGTGCCCACCAGCAGTCTCCTGTGCTCCGGAATGAAGGCGATGGAGGTGATGGAAAAGTCGAGTTTTTTCAAGACTTTCAGCTCCAGCACATTCTGAGAGGTGTCCACCAAACAAATTTGTCCAGTTTCGGTGCCTATTACGACGTTGATTTCGTCGACTGATACAGCGCATGTGAATGTACTGTCCACCATTGGTCCTAGCAGAACATTACGGCTTTGTAACGGCACCGGTCCGGGGCTCGACAGATGGGCCTCGGACGGGCGGTATCTCAATCTCCTGGCTGGTGACTGCTTTCTTGCCCCTTGGATTTGCCAGAGTCGAACACACCTTGTGCCCACCGTGATCACATTATTGCCACACCAAGTCATATCAAAAATGTTGGCGGTGCACTTGTTCGCCGAGTGCAGACTCAATTGGCCGGTTTTGACATTGCAGGACCAGACGAACAAAAATCCGTCCTTATAGTCGCCCAGAGTAGCCAGATGTTTCGTGTCAGAGCTGAAAGCTATGCATCTCAGCCCGTAGGTATGGTCCGTGACGATGGAAGTGGGTACGTCGCAAGAAGCTTCTTCGGCTGTTGAGAAGAGCAGAACTCGAGGGTTGTATCCCGCTTCACCGACTGCCAGCCAGTGGCCATCACGACTCAGAGCCACGCAAGCTGCCGTTTTGATACGCTCTCTTGCGGTCCATGTCTGACCCGCAGATTCATCTAGCCATTCGCGCCCTGCAGAGCCACCGCTATAATCTTCCAGTCCCTTTCGAGGGGTAAAGGTACTGACTCTCCTCCTGGATGGTGTGGTCGCAGGTGAGCTTTCATAATGAGAAGTGGGAGGATTCAGTGAAGCCGCAGTCGGTCGGGCTTTGAAATATCGCAGCGAAGGTGTATCATCCAAACCGAGCCTCGCCAACACTGCTACAGCTCCCGCGCAATAGGCGTACGAGTTCGTTCTCGGACAGCATGCCAACCCACTGGGGCCATTCGTTGTTGTCCCGATCACCCTCTGCAATTGTAACGCATAGTCTGTAGATCGAGTTTTGCGAGCAAGTGCGGTCCCTGCCTTTGGAATGGGAGAAGGAGTCGGGGTTGAGCGCAGGGAGGGAGATTGAGGATTTAGCCTGCTTCGAAGACTGTACGACTGTGAGGACATGATTCACATTGCTGAGCATGCGTCGGTTCAATGCGGAAGGGGAAGCATCGACTGCCGACAGTCGACAGGCAAAGGAGAGACGGCCAATGTCCAGCCGCAACCGTCATTTAATCACGATCTTGATTCGGCGGTCTGGCGTGGTGGGAGTCGGATCATCGGAGAGCCGTGTGCTTCTTAACTCCTGCTAAGATGACATTCGCTCATCTCAAAGCCGAGCTGCAACCAAAGCGAGCGACACAACTCATAGGAATGAGTCGGAAATGATAGTTGCGAAGCTCGTGGATGGTGCTTGTCGAAACGCATTTCGCAATCTCGTGTTTACATTCTTGCCCGATTCGGGGAATGGTCTTCCAGCCACATTTCTCAGCCACATTAGGCCTTGGTAAGCCTTGGCAGTGGCGCGTCTGTTTGGTCCTCCGTACTGGTCCAAGCTCAAAACGGTCGACCATTCACCTACTAGGGCAAATTGCCATTGATCTCGCAGCGACCCTCATACGCCTCGACACCAACAGAACCTCATCTCTTCTGAAGAGAAAGCCATTGGGTTGTCGAGCACTTATTACAAATGTCTAATGACGGTCTCCCTGCTTCGATTAGGGATCTTCGTTGAAAGCGCTCGCCATTGGGTGTCAGCTCTTCTCCTCTTTCACATTTCCCCGACCGACGAAACGATCCGCCCTCCAGGCAAGAGCTGACCTTGCGACTTCTAAAAACGCCATCTCGAAGTCAAAGAGAAACGGATTAAGGCGCCATATTGCAAAGAAGCTAGGTAGTCCTGGGGCGCTTTC